ACGGTCAAGACGGATTTCGGCCCTCGAAGTTTTCTTTTGGGGATTACACCTCCGTCTGCTGTGCAGGTATTTGAACTGAATGGAAATCGGTGTCTGTTTTTACTGATGCGTAGTGGACGGCATGACTTTTGCCCATGTGAAGTACACAGAGTTGTTTCTTCATTCAGTGTTCTCATCGACTTTTCGCACTAGACGTCAATAAGCGATCTTTGGATGTTACAGGTAGTTCGGATAGGAAACGTTTAAAGGACAAAATTGCTTTATCGTCCGCATAGTTTGGGTTTTCAGGTGTACAGGTAGTCAGCAGTATATATGATAACAATATGGGACCAAGAATGCTCCCTTGTGGGACGCCTGTTTGTATCGGTCTATTTCCGAACATTCGTTCCAGCAACTTTTAATCAGCGGCCGGTTAGGTAGTATTTCAGAAGTTGGTAAAAAGAATTGATAGGAAGTATTTAGTGTGTTTTTAATTGGTTAATTTTATATTACAAAAAATTGAATAGAAATCGGTTGATTTTCTCTTCATTAAATATATTTTTTATTAATTCACTTTGCAATAAACGCCCATTAGTTAATCAATTAAATAATAAAACTAAGTTTCGTGTTTTTCGTCATGAACTAGCCATCCTATTTATCCGGCTTAACTAGTTTCCTTGTTGTTCTCTCTAGCATATTTGAATATATCTCTTTAAAATGTAGCCTTCTCGTTGTATATTATTTCATCTCGAACCAGATATTTCCTGGGAAAATGAGGTAAATTTGAGGTCGAGACAGTCTGAAAATAACAATCAAGGTCGGGGGACCGCGATCCGCCATTATATTCAAATTACCTCATGCCCTATTTATCCTGCTCTTGAATACATATTGTATTCATATCATACACATCGGGCTAATTTGTAATTCTATGCCTAGGTGCTTTAATTGTATTCATAGGGCTACAAATTGCGAAGAGGGGGGCTGTTCGGCGGGTGTACTCCGTATTTCACACGAGGAAAGGGCCCCGCATTATTCTTTTTGGAACATGGAGGGTCGACGTTGATTTTGCATTTTTACTGACCTACAAACTCTTAGTGGAATTAATTTTTTGTCTCTTTAAAAATACCTGTAACTGGTCATGAAAGTCATGGACGCATTTGCTTTCAATACTGGCCTAAAGGAAAAAGGAAAACAGCATAAAAAGAACGGCTAACGTATAAGAGAGAAAATGCACAAAGCCACTCAGTAATTAAGTAAAACCGTCAAAAATATAAAAAAAGTACAACCCTCAATAAATACCACTAAAACAAACAAACACTAAAAGGAGAAAGAAAAAGTTTTGTAGATGAATATGCAGCGGAATTGGTATAAACTGGTACTCTCAGAGCTATTGCATCCCCACATAAAAAGAAAATATCAGTAAAAATAACACCATACCAACATAGAAAGAATAGCTGACATAGGTGTGACAAAAACCACGCGTCCATTTAATAATTCTCTAAACGCCCAAAATAACAATGAAAAGAGAGAGAGAGAGAGAGAGAGAGAGAGAGAGAGAGAGAGAAAGAGAGAGAAGAAAATACGAAGAGGTAGTTTTAGACCTAAAACTGTCCATAATAAACAACCTAATAGAAATAGACGTATATAGAAAACCCACAACTACAGACACTATGATACCAGCGGATTCTTCCCACCCATGGTCCCAAAAGGCTGCTGGTTTCATTTGGCTCATAGACCGGATGTTAAAACTTCCGCTAACACCTGATAACTATAAAAAAGAATTAAAAACTATTAAAACCTTAGCAAAAAACAACGGGTATCAAGAAATATTTATTGATAGGTTGCTAGTTAAAAGAATAAAAAAATTAACTTTAAACGAATCAACAATAGGACTCAGTCACCCCACCACAAATGAATCAGTAGGTTTCCGTTGTTTGCCATACATTGGTGAATTATCGCAAAAAGTTAGTAAAATTTTTAAACAAGAAGGTTTTAGAATAGCTTTTAGAAGTACGGGTTCACTTAAAAACATCCTCTCAAAACCTAAAGACAAAGTAGACAACTTGGCAAAAAGTGGGGTTTACCAACTCAATTGTAATGATTGTGATATTAAATATATAGGACAAAGCGGTAGAGAAATAAAAACAAGAGTAAAAGAACACTTGCCTAAATCGAGCAAATTTTCGGAATTTAAGGACCATCTAAAAGAAACAAAACATAATTTCAATTCAAATTTAAATACAAGAGTGTTACATAGTTTCAACAAAGGGAAAGAACTAGATTGGTTTGAGAAATTTGAAATTAAAAAATGTAAAATTGAACATGGTGATAAATGCATTAATAATATAACAGATTTTGATCTACCTCCCATTTTAAATATGTACATAAATAATATCAAACATCCAAATAATTAATCTAATTATTTTAATTGTTATTATTTTTATAGTAATTTATAGTAATATTGAGTATTTATTATTCTAATATTTATTTGTGTTATAATTTCCGCGTTTCGCACGTTCAAATTGAGCGTCATTAAAAAATAAAATAAAATAAAAATCAGCTGATAATTGGAACGTTGCGTTGGCGGAGGTATCAGCGGTTCACTTTGGCAATTCATGTCGAGAGACGTGGTTGTAGAAGTCCTTCAACCTGATGATGAGCTAAAAGGCTCGAAATCCGAATCGTTGCAAAACAACTTACTGTGAGTAGGAACTATCCTTTTAAAGAGTACGAAGAGGTATTTCTTGGGAATTGGTAACCTTCAACTTTGCCGTACTACAATATCAACACGTATAAAGAAAATAACAGAATAATAAAGAATACAATACAAGAATACAAAAAACACAGAAAATATGCTTCTCTAAAAATGAAATAAACAAATAAGCAAACCTAATACGTATTCACTCCCAAATCTCGAAAAAAATACATAGGTTAAGTAAGCATACAATAATTTATATTAACGAAAAATTAAAACGTACAAGCACATACAGAATAGAGAAAAAATCAGCTAGCGATAAAATAAAGTCGAACATACACTAATTAAAAAATGTAAAACCGACGGTCATGTGTTAATTATGCAATCCATTTCAACTATAAAAACTTGAACAACACCATGTTGAACCTCCTCAAAACAAAAAGTCAAATACACAAAGAGAATAATCCATTAGATTTCGTGGTCCTATTGACCAAACAAATTCGTTTCAATTAATTAATCTTTTTATGTAAGGTTTTGCTTGAGGTAAAAAAAGTCAGTGTCACGAGGGGGATTCGAACCCACGACCTCCGGCTAAATACACCGCTGGTCTACCACTTGAGCTATCGTGACTTCGATCCATTCGTACACTAACTTCCCATCTCAAACCAACCTTTCGAATTTTCCCTCCTTTTTGCCATTTTTCAAATGTCGTGTAATCTATTTGATTCTGGGCGACAACCAAAATGGCCACGGAGAGTTTTAGTGAAGTATACTTCATTTTGCTTATTACTTCTATTAGGTATCATGGTCCGATTGACCAAATAAATTCATTTCGATTAATTACTTTTTGATTATGGTTTTCGTTGCGATTAATTAGTTTTGACATGAGTGACATAAATTTATTTTTTATAGCAATTTATTGTTTTCGATTATTTTTGCAACAATTTTGCCCTACGATTTATGATTATATTGTTGTGGAAAGAGACGTGAATAATCCTTATCAGGTGTGAATGTGTATTGAGTGTGTGTTGCAGTCTTTTACTTCTGCTGGGTGCTGAAATGACCTAGCTGTCGGATGCCCCTGCAAAAAAAAAATAATAATAAACCGTATGGAAATATACTGATGATTTTATAACTCTGAAGGGGACGAGGGAGAAACCGCTATTCGGAAGTCAATTGTGTTATCATCAAGGCATTCCAGGCTAATGATCTTACTTAGTTATCCTTGCTTGCATCGGCAGAAAGTGGGCGTCCTAATTTGTCATCTCGGGTAGAACCGGTAGTATGATGTCGGCTAATGATACCTTAGCCCACATTACGCTTCGGAGCCGTGCGGACCCCTGGAGGCGCCGGGTCGCTCCAGACGGGTTTGCATATAAAAGGGGTCGTGACTTATCCCGACAAATTTTACAGCCCTCCTCTCACGACTCAACTGATCTGTCCTTCGTCTCCTTTCTAATCGGCCCAATACGCTTTAAACTAAACCGTTCGATATTTTATTGATTTTTTACAACTCCGACGTGGATGAAAACGATCTGGGACAAAGAACGCCGTCCGACAGCTGTGCCTCTCCAGGAAGAGGAAATCGCCGGAACCCGTTGCAACAATGGTCATGTACTAGCCATCACATAGGCACTCAATGCTCTACTCATAATACTAATACCATTATCGCTATAATAACCCTGCACCTGGCTGGTACTATATTTGAAAAATATGCTTCGGCCTAAGAAAAATTCATAAGATAAAATGTCAATCCTTGCGTATTTCCTTGCAGATTCCAGCGAAATTGTCTTGCTTTGGACGAAAAAAGTTATCTTCCACGCCCACCCGTTTATACCTGAAACGCATATCTTTTTGTGCCCCAGATTCAATCCACAAAAACCTCCTGGAGATATAGGAAATTAGGTGAATATAGTCGACATCTGTTCTTGCTTGGTTTGATTATTTAACATAGACATTACCCTTCATCGAAGCTTTCTCGCAGTCACGAAGATGTTCTAAGTTATGTTCCGACTTCACGCAAACATGCGTGGCGCAGTTATCTGCTAGGCCTACATCCGAGCAAATCGAAAGCCCTTAGATGAACTTTTCGACGAAAATTAAACAGCAATAATTTGCGTGCTTATGATAAACGTATTTTAATAAAGATTGGAGAATGTATTTATTTAAATTTATGTCGTTTGATAACTGATCATTACCTGCATATTCTAGCATCGATGATCTGACAGGTTTTATCGCGTTCTACACCAGATTTCTATGAAATCTTATTGATTTGTATGTGTTTCGTTTGAAATTACATCGCTAATAGGTTTTGTTTTGTTTACAGTTCCCTGGGTGTGAGGAGGCTTGCCAGTTTCACGCCGAGATCGGCGGCGGCCAGAGCGAACCGGTCGTCAGGACGAGAAGCGAAGAGGTGCTCAAAGTGGAAAACAGCGTCGCCAGTTGGTCCAGGCCGAACAAAGCATCCGGCCCTTTCGTCTACGTCGTGATGCGACGCGTCGGGGATCGTCCCTGGAAGCAGATCACCCAGACCCTGGAACCGAGGGCCTGGGTGCCTGAAGGCGGAGTTCTTCGCGTCCTTGTTGTCAATAGGGTCGGCCTCGTAGCCATCTACAGCCCGGAACAGCCCGACTCCGAGATGGCACAGATGAAAGCCGTCCTGGAAAGCCTAGGCCGCGGAGGCGTGCTCAACGGCTACCCGATACCTCCACCTCCTCCTCAAGGCAAGAGGATCAACACACAAATCGTCCAGCCGTCCACGTCGATACCCAACAACAACATCCTCGTAAGTCTTTTTGTTATTATCTCAACAGGCAGAGATTTCTAACCTTGTCGAACTTACAGGACGACAGCAGGGCGGAAGGAAAGCGCCCGTGGAACCTCCACACTATAAGTCTCATCCACCAGAAATACCTAGTGATAGCAGAAATCGCGTGGGAGGGCAGGCGGCAGCTCCAGGGCTCGAGGAAACCCATATACTTCGTCACGTGGGAAGTCGACGGTGGTGGCTTAAAAGGAAATCTCCTGACCGAGTCGACCACAGTCACACTGTCGCTCTGCACCGACACCGTCTACCACATAGAGGTAAGTCTTCCAACTAAATATCAAATGTAAAACCGTACAAACCGTGTCCGAGGTTTGATTTTTGTCTGTTTTGAACCTTAAATTATAACAGGGTCATGTCGCTAGCCGAGACCTTATCCTCCTTTGGTATGCAATTGACCAAGGATTAACTATAGTAGTTCCATGCCAATAACTTCTATAAATCAAGTGAATGTAAAATCTTTCATTCTTCTGTGTTTATTTTGCTTTGGTGAACGTTACAGCGCATTTAAAAAAATATGTTGTAAAAATTTGTGCGTATCCTCGCAATATCAGTCTAGAAGTGGTGTAATTTTTCACTACAATTATTAGGTTTCGTAATCCGCTTGACCAAATAAATTCTTTTCAATTAATTAATCTTTAATTAAGGTTTTTATTGAGATAAAAAATGACAAAAAAGAAGGGAAAATTCAAAAGGTGGGGTTGAGATAGGAAGTTAGTGTCAGATATCTCAAGTGGTAGAGCAGCGGCGTATTTAGCCGAAGGTCGTGGGTTCGAATCCCACTTCTGCCACTGACTTTTTTTTATCTCAACCAAAAACTTAATTAAAGATTAATTAATTGAAAAGATTTTTCTCTATTTTCATATTGGGATTGATAGGTTGATTTACGCTTTAGTATTTTTATAAAATTATTTATGGTCTGCAAATTTGTATTTTTTTCCTGTGAAATATAAGCCAACTCAGTTTGTCACGAAACGTTCCCGGGTCGTACGTTGTATTCTTAGTTTCCGATATTTATAAACATCGTACGTGCCATTAAAATTCAATTCGATTTTAACCATGCGGGAAATTAAACGTTTGTATTCAAAGACTGGTGCCAAAACGTTTTTCTTTATTTATAGAAGTGCAATTTTTTTTAAATTTATTAAAGTGATCGCCAGGTCCTAGGAGCAGGATGGTTATAATTCAACTGCGTCCCACCCCCTTACGCCAACGCCCCAATTGAACACATTTCAATAATTAATAAATCACGGTTGTTCAACGCTTCAATTAAACGGTCAATCCCGGCTAAACAATGCGCATCTATTACGTTGAAGTGTACGATTCGTTTTGGTCTTTGGATTTTTTTATATCGGCCTCGGGATACAATTGGCCCGGAGATAATGCCGAGTTTGTACTAGAGTTAATTATAGGTGAGGCTGGCGGTAAATTTACCTCCGTTGGCTTTGCGGAGGGGGGTCTGGAAATCCGTCGACGGGAAAACAAATTCTTCAAAGACGCATCTGGGAAAACATGTGCGCACGACATGTGTGTCCTGTCTCGCTTTTTACCTAGGGGCGTTTTTTCAGCACTCTCCCCTAAGGGATAGAGTATAAAAAAGTGTAAATTAGCTAAGATAATTGGTTTAAAAGTTAAAACAAACAATGCTTTGAAAACAAATAAACAATAAGCTGGTTTAATAATTCAAACATGAACAGACATATCAACTATGATATGCCTAATACAAATTTTAGGCAAGAATATAATTGCTCCTACCTCAGAATTAACTAACTAGAACTACTATTTCTTTGTACAACTTCATTAAACAAGAAGGAAGATCAGTTGCTCATATGCACAGGCTACTGTAGGGCACCTACATGTCATCATCTATTAGAAATTTTTCTTTGCTTTTGTCAGTGTCGCATCTATAGCTTCGATGGCGCAAGAAAGGTAGATGCTACAATCATGAAAGAGGGTAAAAATGAATAGCTGGACTTAAAAAGAAGAGTATGACCGGTGTTTGAATAAAAGCATATCTACTGATCCTTTAAGAAGTCTGTTGAGTACAGAGGATATTCTTCAATTTAAACTCATTTGACATAACGCACCTCGAATCATAAGTGCATTTTAGCTTCATCATAACGATGACAATGTTTACAAAATTCTGGTTTGGATGGCCTGGCATCATAAAATTGACGTCGACTTTGAAAGCCTCAACGGGAAAGAGTGTCTCTGCTTCAGGAACAAAGCAATCTACATCGTACATATGCTTAGAATGCTTAATGAAAAGAACGGTTATAGTCGAAGGGAATGAAAACCTAAATCAAGGAAAAGTAACTAAGGTGTTATTTCCTAAACTAGTTAGTTTTTCGCCCAGTGTCTCCATTTTTCTTTAGTTCTTCCAGTCCGCCTTGCGGTTGGGTGGAGGCAGCCACTACAACTTTGGTGAAGGATAAAAATGAACGCATTGTACAAAATGGAAGGTTGAACTTTTGACTAAACTGGACGAATGGTGGAATTGGAGGTATTTGAATTAAAAGAAATTTGTACGGCCAAAAAAATTAAGACACTCCTTCTTTGATTCGACAGCGCAAAGTTGTCCATTTCACGGACGAGATTAAGGTATTGTGGAAGAACTATGGGCTGAATGGAAGCAAGATCAGTTGCTCAGACGTACGCAAAGACCAAAAGAAAAACTTCGATTCAAAATAACTGTACTAAGATGAAAGCCAAATTATTTTACATGAAAGAACAGCTTGATTAAATAAGGAGAAGCCTCAATACGTTGAATAACTTTTCATAGAACCGAAACGTAAGATGCTTTGCCCGCAAAAATCCTGGTGGAACAACACCCCAAGACATATATAGGCGAAAGACTGCAAGCAAGTTTGAAGAACACTTACCACAGACCTTGTGCAACAAACAAGAAAAATCGAAAGAAACCACAATAAATGTATGCTTAAAAAAAGGTTAATAATTTTTGTGCCAAAAAATAGCAGAACACCTCCGGTGTAACAACTAAATCTTTGGAGGCTAATAAAAAGTCTGAAGTTACATAATGAGATTGCCTCTATAGGCCCACATGAGGTCATATACATAGTGCAACAGGCTGTTAAGTACACCTCAGAAACGAATTTTAATCTTCACCCTTGCTGTTTTATCCTCAACTGTCCTTTTTACTCCATATTTTGAAGAACCAATCAATATGTCAATTTCGAACAAGATAATCCGTGGAAAATATAAAATGAATAACATAAATGAAATATAGGTCACGATAGCTCAAGTGGTAGAGCAGCAGCGTATCTAGCCGAAGATCGTGGGTTCGAATCCCGCTCGTGCCATTGACTTTTTTATCTCAACTAAAAACCTTAATTAATTGTAATATATTAATTGGTCAAGCGGACGGTGGTTGGTGAATAAATGTAATAATTGATTTCTATTTCGCTTTGACCAAGCTGTTTTGTTATCATGTATTCTAAAATTTTGTGGTATCTGATATAACTTAAATAAAAACGTTCCTGATATTTCAGTTTTCAAGTGGGTTTATACGAGTTTTATCGATGGATTGTTTGTTATTTAGTTGTAATGTCTGGATGTGCGAGAAAATAGTCAAATAGAAGGAGAATACGAGGAGCAGGGTGATTAGATGACCACCGAACTTCTGAAACACCATGGCGCGATGCCCCAACCGTAAAAGCATTTCAATTCCGCCTAGCTTGAACGAGGTGCTAGTCAATAATGGGGATTTAAAAGATTAATTATAAAAGGCTAAACTAAGTCTCTGGGATTATTTGGCCACGTGTTTCGTCCCCGGCGCACCCCCTCTCTATTATTCTACACTAAACCCCGGGCAATCCCTAATCCTCGTTTAAAAACATCCTTCGGCCCCGTGTCCTTTTTGGCTGTTAATTAATAATTAAGGACGGGCGTCGGCCCTTTTCGGATACGCGCATTTTTGAACAGGCCGTTAATTAACTCGTGAGATTAAAGGGGAATGCCATGGGGGAAAGGACACGACCCCCGTGAAAAGGTTTGTTCAGGTGGCTCCAGAAGGTCCAAAGGGTCTTACGAGAAAACAAGAGGTGAAGTGTGTAAGAGGTTTATCCTCGGATGATATATTCAGGGGAAAGGGTTCGAAAGCCTCTTTTTTAAGTGTACTCTCGGATGTTGATATCCAATTGAACACTTGTGAAAAATCAGAAAAATGAACGTAATGTGGCACATACTTTATATAAAATGAGTGGGAAAAGGTGGAATACATTCGTATAAACTGACTTGAATTCTCAATTCTATAGATTCTGTGTTCGAACCCCGTCAGAGCCAATGGTTTTTTAATAGATTATTGTATGATAAATGTATTTTTAAGTACTTTGACCCCTTGCCCGCGACATCCGCAGGTATGATTGGAATTTCTTTACTTTTTTTACATCGTATAAAAAAGAAGAAAATATCCAACTGTTTTTTTCAAATTGTAAAGCAAAACATGGTCCACCTTATGGTTAATTACATCTATTACGTTTTGTGGTCCGATTAATCAAATAAATTCTTTTAAATAACGTTAAAAAAACCCAGTGTCACGAGCGGGATTCGAACCCACGCCGTGGCTCTACCACTTGAGCTGTCGTGACTTCGATGCACTCGGACACCAATTTCCCACCTCAACCCAACCTTTCGAATTTTCTCTCCTTCTTGCCATTTTTCAAATGTGCAATCTATTCGATTCTCGGCGACATATGAAATGGCCACGGAGAGCTTTAGTGAAGATATACTACATTTAACTTATTAAATCCATTCGATTTCGCGGTCCGATTGATCAAATAAAATATTTCAATTAATTAATCTTTATGTGAGGTATTGGTTGAGATAAAAATTCAGTGTCACAAGCTGGATTCGAACCCACGACCTTTGGATAAATACGCCGCTGCTCTCTACAGCTCAAGTGATAGAGCAGCGGCGTATTTGGCCGAGGGTCGTTGGTTCGAATCCCGCTCGTGACACTGACTTTTTTATCTCAACCTATACCTTCCATAAAGATNTATATATATATATACATTGAAAAACTTATTGTCAATCTTACCAAAATAAATCTTTGAAGTGAGAAGATGTTTTCTTATAAAACTTGTCTTCTGTCCATTGTCTGTAAGTAGAGAGTGGCTCGATGAAAACTGATCATGTCTGATAGGTCACTTTGTTCTATCCAAAATTTAAGCTTTTCTGGAGTGTTCCGTAGAAAATGAAGTTCAATATTTTTCTTCAGCAAAGTTCCAAATCTATTGAAAAA